AAGTTATTCTCATCTTAAATCCCTGCTTCATTTCCTACAGGTAAACTATCACAGCTTTAAGTCATTCTCATCTTAAATCCCTGCTTCATTTCCTACAGGTAAACTTTCACAGCTTTAAGTCATTCTCATCTTAAATCCCTGCTTCATTTCTTCAGATTCGAATAAGCAAATTTTATCTTTATGTTGTTTCTCTAAAAAAAATGCAGGTATCTTACCCCTGTTTACTTCCATTACGGTAATTTTAGTTATTGTTTGTTTTATCAGTTAGTGCTAGTTTTTTCAGTTACTGCTACTATTTAGATTTATCAGTTATTGTTAGTTTGATCAGCTACTTCTTCAGTTAATCGATTTTATCAGTTACTATTGGTTTTATCAGCTAATGCTGGTTTTATAAGTTAGTGTTGATTTTATCAGTTATTGAATTAGTGTTAGTTTTATCAGTTACTGCTGGTTTTGTCATACCGAGGTATATTAAAATAACTTTGCACGAACACTCTTCATGTACCTCATTAACTGAAATCACTAAAGCTGTGATATTAATACTATATAATCACTTCATGTTTGTTAAATGTCTGTACCGTTTATTTATCTGTTTTAACACCAAAAGCTGAGCCATCTAATAATGCAACATTATCACAAGTCTTTACTTCCTGAAACTAGCGCCCCCAGTGGCACAGCGGTATTGTGTTGCTTTCTGCTTAATTACAAACAAACAAACCTGAAACTAGCAGATTTGGGATGTTATACACTTCTGTTTAAATAGTTCTAACGGTCAAATCGAGTTTTTGTCTGATAAATGAAACAAACTCTTAATATTTGATACACGTTTTAATTTATTTGTTCCACACGTAGTTTGTAATCAGCAAATGTTGCTAAAAAATTAGGGTTACAGCGTGAATGGGTAAAATTATGATTCAATTATTTTCAAGGTTAGTTGTGTTCATAAGCCTAAACTGGCCAGTTTAACACTACACTTAATCCTTTCTCCAACAACACACAGAAACGTATGTAAACTGATTTCTCTCGAAGTTGCTAGAATATATTAGAACTGTTAATCTCGAGGGTGGAAGGTATTTATTTCAATAGTCAATGGAACTAATCAATATTGTTTTAGATAAATTTATAAAGTTATCCAGTGAGAAACTAAGTTGAAATTCAGATTAGAAAATGTTACTAATTTTATAAATCTATTTTTTCCTTCAATTTTTATGGCATTTTAAAACGTTTATCAAAACTTTACACTTTATCATAATCGTACTTCTGTTGATTTTATAGTTTGCCTGCAGGTGGCGTCAGTGACGTCGTCACTCTTTGAGCTGTCCTGGGCTTTAGCATTCTACCAACGAGCTTTGCGCCGGTCAGTCCTAGACAAAAAGAACATGACCCGAACTGGAACTGCTCTTCAATTCCTGTGGCGTTTTTGTACCATCGGAGCCCGTGTATTCGCCCTGGCGCTTTTTGCATCAGAGTACAAACTGTGGACGATACCGGTGTGTGTGGGTCACTGGGGCGTTATGACCGTTTGGATAATGCACCAACGTACTCACTTCTGTGATAACGAGGCAGGAGAGAAACGTCAGTGTGAAGAGTACGTGTTCAACATGGTCATTGGTGCAATTTACCTCTTTTGCTTCCTAAACGTGAAGGATGGACCCACGCGCTACAAAGTCACTGCATATTATACCATCGCTGTTCTGGAGAATTTCATCTTGATTGTACTATGGTACGTACAGACAGACCCCATTTTATGGTATCGCTTACCTGCCTTTCTTGGCATTTTTGCAAGCTCGCTGATGGGTGTCAGCATCATGGCAGTTTACTACTGCTTCTGTCATCCCAATGGAAAGCTGCCAGATAAAGACCATCAAGCACGTTGCTGTTAATATCATAAACCTAAAGAAGACAGACAACCGTCTCACAACGGCAGTCTATTACTGCTTCTGTCGCCCAATGTAAACCATCAAGCACGTTGCTGTTAATATCATAAACCTAAAGAAGACAGACAACCGTCTCACAACGGCAGCTATTACTGCTTCTGTCGCCACAATGTAAA